AAATTTGAGTTAAACTATAAATCAATAAACATTCTTTCTTATAATTCTGATTTATGTGCCTTTGATTATCAAATAATTCAAATATAAAAAATATTACTTTTCCTTCCCTTAGTTACTTTCTCTTCATGAAGAAGTTGATTGTTGAATCACAACTACAAACGTCAGTGTATATAGAAGTATACATGTACATAATAGTTAATTAAATAAGTTTCGAATATTTTATTCTGATCAAGCTACGTATGAATAATTTTCAAAGATTTTCACTGCATTAACTTGTTTCGATTTTCCCTGCTTTATAACAGAATATACACTCAGATACATACGTTAGAGAATATGTACTGAAAATATGGTGCACTGAGTACAACATAAGCTTCCATTAGTTAAGACTAAGTGTAGGAGGGAAAGAATATCTAGGTTAAGCTCTTCAGACTCTTTCCAGACTGTTTTTAAACTCTCCCTAGGTTCTTTCTTCGTACTTAAACTTTCCCTAGACCGTTCTTACTCTGACGTTAGACTTCCTCTATTCTCTCTACATTTTTCTAAAACCACAAACTAAAATGAAGAAACAATTTTTCTATATCTATTGTCAGTTTAAAAACACCCATTTAGCTTGCAAATATTCCAAAATAATAAAAAATCAATATTTTGAAATCTTAAAGTTTAAAAACTTCAGACGCATTATTAAAAAATTTCAAAGTCATAAGTTTAAAAATTACAAAGCTGAAAAAATTTGAGGTTCTAAAATTCCTAAATACGAGAATTTAATTTAAAATGGAAATGTTCACCTTACTACAAATTTGTATTGTTTGTAAGAATGTTGTGCTTTCATCATACAATAAATATTATTTTTAGCTTTGAGAGTTTAAACGTTCAGGATGTAAAAAAAGCTTATAATAACAGACATTTAATAATAAAGAATTTAACATTTAATAATATAGCATAATAAACGATTTATAAACAGCAAGATGTAATAACTATACTTATCGGTCTAACAATAAGCAACATAAATGATCTTTTCCAAAAAAATTCTTAAAAATATTTTGCCTTTCTAGTAACGAAAAAATTACATACAAATGTATTCTCTGCATCAAATAAAAATCGTAAACATAGAAAACAGTACAGAAAGCGTCGGTAAGATAAACGATGGGTACACGTAAAGTGTAATATATATGACAGAGAAAACTTTTGCCCAACGCAAATGTATGTTTTTATCGTCGTCTCAGCATCTAAATGTATCGGAATACAGCAGCCGCAAATCTTCATATATAATGTAGCATTCTTTGCAAACTTTAATCGCAGTCTTTTGTGTTGCTACCCCAACAGATTTCTTACCGACACTCGATACAATAAAAGTGAATAATATGGTGATACGAAGTTGAGTCAAGTTGTAAGTACTGTAATAATAATCGACGGTAACTATTATTTCATTGTTTTTAATCTTTGATTGTTGACATCATTTTTTTTTTGTATTAATAATTAGTATTTTTTATTTGAATAATAGTGATAGAATTATTATACTGTAATAACAATTGATGGATGTGTTGCAATGAATTTAAAAAATTTGAGAATATCAAAGTTCCAAATTTTTAGACATTTAGAAATTTTCGGGTTTCTAAATTTTGTAGTATGGTAATACTGAAATTTTAAGGTCTTTTAAAATTTTTAAGATTATGATGATTCTTAAATTTCCAAAACTTATAATTTCTAAATACTCAAATTCCCAAATTTTCGGGAATTCATATTCTCTCATTTCTAAATTTCTTAATTTCCAAATTTTCAAGTTTCGTAATTTTTAAATTTCTAAATTTCCAAACTTCCAAATTTTCAAATTTCTTCATTATCAAAGTTTCAAATTTCCCAATTTCCCCATTTCCAAATTCCCAAATTCCCAAATTCCCAAATTCTCAAATTCCCCAATTCCCAAATTCCAAAATTTTCGAATTTTCAAATTTCCCCTATTTCCCAAACCCCCCAATTCTCAAATCCCCAATTTCTTAAATCCCTAATTTCCCAAATCTCTAATTTCCCAAATCCCCAATTTCAGAGATCTCTAATTTCCCAAGTCCCCAATTTCACATATCCCTAATTTCCCAAATCCCCAAATTTCCAAATTGCCTAATTCTAAAAATCAGTAATTCCCAAATTTCCGAATTTTCAAATTTTCCAATTTTCCCATTTTCAAATTTCCCAATTTCCCCATTTCCAAATTCCCAAATTTCCAAATTTCCAAATTCCCAAATTCCCCAATTCCCCAATTCCCAAATTCCCAAATTTCAAAATTTTCGAATTTTCAAATTTCCCCTATTTCCCAAAACCCCCAATTCTCAAATCCCCAATTTCTCAAATCTCTAATTTCCCAAACCCCCGAATTTCCAAATTGCCTAATTCTAAAAATCAGTAATTCCCAAATTTCGGAATTTCCAAATTTTCCAATTTTCAAATTCCCAAATTTCCAAATATCCAAATATTTACACTTGAAAAGTGTGGTTATACGAATGCAATTCTACCGACATAATATCGACACGCAATCAGCTCCTTTATACAATTTCTATCTACAAAAATATAATTTATAGACATCCCACTTACGACATTAATATTTCTATTTATAGTAGCCTATGTATTCCTCCACATTATTGCTAATTTTCTCCGAATAGTATCCTTTCACAAACAAAATCATCAACCTATTTATTATAAACATTCCATTATATTTATTGTAAATTTCTAAAATATATTCTAAATATATGCAAATATACTTTATGCTTTTTGAACGTATGTATTTATATGCTTCTTTGACAAAACTCTTTCTCTAACTCGCCACGAAAGCAAAGAATGTTGTGTAAGAAGTTTCCCACATTTTCCTATAGTTTAAACCTGTCTCTTATCATATGATAGTTTTCCTATAGTTTAAACCTGTCTCTGGTCATATAATAGCTGTCACGTGTTTTTTGTCCATGACAGAATTATTTGCTGATATACAACAGTTTAAAGAATACGTCGAGATCGAAGTATCGGGTAACATATTCATCTCCACAGTGGAATTGTAATGTATGTGGTCAGACATACTATAATACGGTCTATTAAAAATGCGATAGGTTAATTTTTCAATTTTTGTATTTAATAAAATATACGTGTGATTTAATATTAAAGGCACTAAGGATTTCAGTTGCTTTTTCTTTGCATAATTAATTTAATTAAATCTATAGCGTCGGTCACCGGTGGCGAACATAGCAGTCAATGTGTTAATCGACTTTTTGCAATTAAAATATTAATTTTTAACTAATGGAATCTGTAAGTTGAGAAACAATGTAGAAAAATAATTGTTACATAAAATTACACTTCAAGAAAGTTTAAAGTACTTGAATTTCTAGTACAAGTTTTAAATTTGCACAAACTGTTTTCAGCACACATTATCTTTCTCTTAAATGAAAATTTTATGGTAGATGCTGTTTAATTAAATATTAATTAAAAATAGTTCTGTTTTGCATGCATTAACCTTCCGTTGCATGATCTTGTTAATTCTGAGAAAAAATATGTTTTTTCATTCTGAATTATTAGAAGAAACTAACAATAAATAAGTATTAATCTGTATTATAGATTTGTATTATAAAATTGTGTAACCATGAAAATTTGCAATGTTATACCAATAACAATACTGTAGTCAGAAAAAAGATGTTTTTGATGATTTCAATAATAGTAAAATATAGTATAATTAATTTATGTTTGTATACATGAATTGTACAACGTATTTGCAACGCAATGCAACAAAGGGTTAAGCTTTCTAAAGTTTCCGTCGCCATTTTTAAATACTTAAAATTCAGATTGCATTGTTTCTATTATTATTTCACAAAAATGTTAACAATTCTAACCATGTGTTTATGTGAAATAGTATCAACATAACCCGCAGGGTTAAATCTCATTTTACTGTGGGTACCAATATGACACTATTTCTTTTTGTACATAACAATATTTAAGTTACAATGAACTTACTTCAAAATATCAACGTCATCGAAAATATACCGCCAAACAAATCTCTGAAGAAATTATTTTTTATTTTCGAAACGAGACGCTTTCATTTTTGCACGCTGAGAAAGAGATACCCAAACAAGCTACTTGCAGTTATGTGCTGAATTACTTTATTATCTACGTGGTGCATAAAACACAGATTTCATAATAGATAACATATTTAATAGAGAACTACTAAATAATTATCTGTGAAATACAAAAGTCATGGGGGGGCCACTTCACCAACTGATATCACAATACTTCTACTTTTCTCTGTGACAAACAAACCACGAAAGCGACGGCAACTTATGCTAACACCTTATAATCGTTTAGTATAAATAAAATACTCAAAGTTGTCCGTAACGTTAATATTTTACTTGTTCTTTACTTCTAGTTACATCTTCATTTAGAATTTTCCTAATGAAACAAATTATCAAACTTATCCAACAATCATTTCAATATCTTTCTCGACTAGTAACAAAAAAAGATTCTACAAACACAAATAAAAACAATCACTACACGATCATCGTTAAAATTTAACCAAGGTACTTCTGACCCTCCCCGTTTAACGAAGTCTAATTATTTTCATGGTAACCTCCCTAACCATGAATGGAACAATGGTGATTCACCGTAAAATTCATCATATAACAATAAAAGGAAGTTACACAATAATAAGAATATAAAAAGAGTCACTACACAGCAACGAATACAAACCCCCTTTATCTTCGAATTGCTTTTCGGATAACGAATCGTCGATTAGGTTCAGAATAACAAAGCATGGTAATCGCGAGTGGAAGAAAATAGTGATTCACCGTAAGCTTCATCATATAACAATAAAAGGATGTTACACAATATTAAGAATATAAAAAGAGTCACTACACAGCAACGAATACAAACCCCCTTTATCTTCAAATTGCTTTTCGGATAACGAATCGCCGATTAGGTTCAGAATAACAAAGCAAGGTAATCGCGAGAGGAAGAAAATGGTGATTACTCACCGTAGGATTCGGCATACAGCGTCGTGGGGGTGGCGGCATGGGATCTGGAGCAGCACGATAAGGCGGCGGCGAATATCGTCCCGAAGGGAAACAGCCCGGGGCAGTGATGGGTGCCCCGTGGAGTCCCTTGCTCCCCATCATCTTATCCGGTGAGTACATCATCTTGCAGCCAGTTAAGTCTAAGCTGAGGGGCTTAGACCTAAACCAGTCGAGAACCGGCACCCTCAAACGAAACGATACCAGTTACGGCAACCGCGCTTCTTCTTCTTCTTCACATCAGTATTCGTATCAGTTCGCATCTGTATAACAGGTATTCGGTATGTCCTCACTAGCTTAGAAAAGTACTTTCACCTTCACTTTCATCAAATCGCTGGAACTAAGAACGCCGATACACCAACGGGATAGTAACGTACCCGTGGCAGAAGTATCTGTGCACACTTTTCTGTTACGAGCCACCACTCATCTTATCATCTCACCGTGGTCGATCAATCAGTCCGTTTCGTTACGATCGATCCAGGATAACGTGGATCCTTACATCTTGAACGCGTCTCGCGTGTTTGAATCGGGTTAATAATGCCGATCGAACATTTCGATTCGTTCCAACGAATCCAGCGACCTCGCACTTCACAAGAGAAAACGAGACACAGAGAAACAGAGAGAGATAGAGAGAAAGAGACAGACAGAGAGAAAGCGAGAGAGAGAGGTGGAGGGATAGGGGGATAAGAAAGAGAGAGTACAGCACCGGTGTTCGTCGATATGAATAAATGATTGCCTATTGAGGAGCAGCTGATTCGAAAGAAGTCCACGGGTGCCGAATAACTTCCAGAGAATAGAATCAACGTTGATCGATTCGCACTGAGATGATCACAATTCACGAAATGAAAAAACGGTAAAATTCGAAACCATAAATTGTCCACTGTTCGAAGTGTTGTGATTAACCACGTAGAACCGTGCGCGGATGTTGTCCTGAAGCTCTGCACTTTTTGGCGCTGACTGGCCGCCGAAGAGTGGCCCGTAGATGAACTCTTCCACGAGGGATGGCGGGAGTAAGGGAAGAAGAGGGAAACAACGGAACAGGGGATGGTGGTGGTGATTCAGGAGATTTGCCGAGCGGCGCGTGCTCACAACCAGAGGGGTTGTTCGCCACAGGCTGAACCGGCAACAACCGGAACGAAGGGGTAGATCGTGCATAGGCGGAGTCTAGCATGGTCACGCTTGCGCCCCTAACGGTATACAGGTCGGCCATCTTTGGCATTGCCTTCGTGCTCGACATGGGTGTCTCTAACCGCGACCACCCGTTTGTCCATCCTTCCTGCATTCTACCCTCCCTCGTTTCCCTTTGACCATTCTGTCTCCTTTTCTCTCCGTACACGCTCCAGTCCTTTGCGCTTTTTCTCCTCTCTTTTCCCCCTTTCATCCCCCGCCACAATGTTACACGCCCTTACCAACTACCTCACCGAACCACTCCTGTTCCTATCGAACCTTGCCCCGCGCAACCTTGTCTCGTCAAAGGTTCTCCTCGTATTGTCTACCTACTTTTCTTTCCTCGCGTCGTGCTTTTGTTCGACCACCGCGAAATCTCTCGCACGGTTCTCGTTGTTGGATTAGTAGTTACGTCGTAAACTGGTCGGCCACGATTGCCCTTCGGCTTAATACCAAGGTCGCTGCTACTACTGCTCGTCATTTATCTTCGATTTGCCGCGAATCTACGGGACTCGCGGAACTTTTTGCCTACCCTGCGCTCCTTCTGCGATCAGCGGTTTCGATCGGTTCACGATTTCGAGAATTGGTTTGATCGCGCAGTGGTTCAGTTTCCAAAAAACTACCGGTACTTGAAATTCGCTGTATTTTTACGGGAAGTCGTATGTTTATGTCCTTTTGTTGCTGAATTTTGACATGAGGTCAAAGAAGGAAAATTTGATATGGAGAGTACATGAAGGAGAGTGAAACGTTTCTTTCGTGTTAATTGTTTTACGATTTTATGATGTAGTTTTAGTCCTTGAATTTTTACCTGTTGTAGATAGATATATGTAATTAATGGTAATGATATGTAATTTATGGAGTACAGCAATTTATATTATTAAAAATATGTTAGAATGTCGTTTGCTTTATTATTTTAACGAAAAGGAATTGTATAATTTTCTTCATACAATATGTTAAAGCAAAAGTATGGATTTGAATAAAAACTATTAATTGCAGACGATAATTTATATAACTAATTTGAGAAAATAGTAAGTAAATAAATCTCCTGTGAATCTTTTTATTAATCCTTTTGATACAAAATATTATTAAAAATTGTATAATTTTAAAATAAAAAATACATGAGTAAAATTAAATTTGTTGTACTATTGTACTGTGGTACCATTTTTGTCAATTTACCATTTCACTATTTCACTATTCCATCCTGTTTTTATCCTGGTATTTAATTATTCTGCTTGTTCATTGTACCATTATTCCATTATACTACTGTATTACAGTACTAATCCTCTAATTTCTGCTTTACAGTACAGTTCTATCATTTTATTGTTTCACTATACTCGTGTTCTGCCACTTCACTATTCCGATAATTCCACTCTACAACTATACTAACCTTTTATTAGACTACTGTACCAACATTACATTACTGTAGTATACTACTATTTTATAACACTATTTAACCATTCTTCACTATACTGTCATTTTACTACTTTACTACTTTATGGTTCTACTACCCTAATCTACTCTGCAACTATAATATTCACCCTTCTTACTATTTTACTATTCTAGTATACTTCTATTTTACTATTTTAATATTTTAGTGTTTCACTTTTTGAATAATTTTACTGTTACTTTGTTATTTCCTAATGTTATTTTATCATTTTTCAATTTTACTACTTGACTGTCTATCTAATTTTGCCATATAACTATGTTATTATACTACTATATTTCTGTTTCACTATTTTATAAATTACAGTAAATATGTCTAAAGCAGTAATCGTAAACGCTTTTAGTCATAATATAAGTGATACATAAATATAGTAACTACAAACATATAAATTTTTTTATTAAAAATGCTTGTATTAGGTATTTGAAAAGTCAACATTTTGAAAAAGATAATCATTTGCAATTTCGATAATTCTTTGATGTGTTCAGAATGTCATCTTTTATTGGTAATAAGAAATTTTTAACCGAGGGTTAAATTAGGTTAGGTTACGTTTAGGTTAGTAAAATATATTTCAGTCAGTTTTCATAAATTAAAACTTTGCAATTCTAATTAACCTTGCTATTCATATCGAAGCACCATTTCTTTGCTATTATTAAATATTTTTCGTAATTATTTTATTTAGTAATAATTATTTTTAACTCCAACGACATAATAAATTTAATAATTTCATTGACATAGATATTGGGTCCCTATTTTGTGCGGTTTAATTTAAAGAAAAACCAATACACATATTATTTAGGAGAGTAATTGATTTACTGGTATTGTTGCTCGATTGTGATTAAACCATGTCGTTTCAAATAATTATTATTTAAAGCTCTCTTTTATGTCTCATCTGAATAATGGCTTTTTGAATATTTTACTAGTGACTAACAATTATGTAAAAACATATTTAACGAATATTAAATAATCAACAATTACCATTGTTCGAAGCTACAATAACAGCTGAAATACGGTTCTTAGAGTTGAATAATATTTGCAAAATGTATTTTGTTCCTTTATATGTATATTAATCATTCATTACTACTAATAAAATGAATGTGAGAAAAATAATTAATTATATTTACTGCAAAATTTATTATGTTTACAATAACGTATACATTCTTGAACTTATAATACATTTTATATATTAACAATCATATTGCTGTATTTTATTGAAATGAAAAATAATATGGAAATATCAAAAATATGTTTATAAAATAATAAAGGTTGTATAATATATTGTCAATATTTATTTTTAAAGAAATTTTCTACTTTTCGTTTAATATAAATTTTTTAATTTTTGAATGATTTTAAAATAAACTGTCATAAGCAGGAATAACTGAGTATCTGTTAAATAAAGTCTATTTTATTAAAGTACTTTTTAATCAATCTTATAATTAATAATAAAACTATATATAAATTAATTTTACATTGTATTATGTTAAATATTTAATGTTTACAAGTTCTATTTGCATCTAAACTCTATCGTAACCTTATTATTTCTTATAGAGTATCGTAATTTTTATCTCCTATAGATTATTATTTATTTTAATAATATTCTTTATTTAGTAATTTTAATCAAAGAAAGCACCAATGAACTCAATAAATTTCAGCTATATTTTCGATTACTTTCTGATCTTACAATAGAATTAAGCTGATTTAAAAAAAAAATAGTTTCACTTGGCAATTTAATATTATCAAAATAGTAATTTACCTACACCAATTCTATTTAGTGAGTATGATAAGCATATCCAACACTTATCAAATTTCACATCAAACTTAAGCAAAGAATCTGGAAATTTAAGGGAGAGCGCATAAGAAATGCATTGTAGATAATCGTACAAATGTATTTCAAATTTCGCGGGAAAATTAAGGAACTTACTTTAGACTTCACATTAAAGTTAACATTGGAGAGAAATTAACATAGACTATTACTACTTTTAAAAGTCAATTCATTCAATTGTTCTTCCCCTACTTTAAACCAATTATTTAAAGAATTTAATTACTCACATATCTTCATGAAGAAAATTGTAAGTATTTAATTACATTTTCAACAAGGATAAAATACTTTGTCATGTTGAATGGGAGGATCATCATCTGACAATAAGAGACAAAAAAAAATTAAAACTTTAAATGACTTTGACATCACAACTAAAATTATTGAAATAAAAAAAAAAGCGACTTATTAAAATCTTTATAGAAATAAGTATTTTTAACCAAGTATATGTACATGTATATTTGAAATTCTGAGACAGTTGTGTGTCTTAGCGATTAACTGGGCCGCTACTTGATCGGTCATGTCTTCGTAGTAAGTGCAGATTTGTGTGAGCTATTTCATAATGAATTTTTAAGATGTCATGGACCCTTCGTAACCCAGATCCCCTCTGTTACTCCCACAAGGCTCCAGGACTTTCGTCGATCCAATAAACGAATAAAGCCGTTTCACGCTATTCTTGACTCTCAGCTTCCAACTGACCGA